TATGTTTCGCTTCGGCTTTGCAAGCTATTGAGCTAGCAAACATATTAACGTCGACAATTTCAGTATGGATTCCCCAGCAGCATCCAAATAAAGCAATCCCAAATAAACAAATTGACCCCGCACAAAAGCAGAAACAAACTTATTGGGTTAACCGATCGAAACCCCTAAATAGCTACACTGTGGAGCACCACGGTCTCAACGGTGAGCCCCGGTCCAAACCCGAAAAGAACACCCCATTCGAGTCCTTCTCCTGTGGTCTTGAGGCCATCTTCAGCGCCCTTCCTCCTCATCTCGTCCAAAATGAACACTACACACGCACTCGACATGTTACCGTACTCGCTAAGCACGTGCCTTGTGGCGCGTAGTTTCTCGGGCTTCAAGCCACACTTAGCCTCCACTTGGTCGAGAATGGCTGGTCCACCCGGGTGCGCAATCCAGAAAATAGAGTTCCAATCTGAGATGCCTAAAGGCTTGAATGCCTCAGTTAAGGACTTATCAATGTTCTTTGAGATAAGTCCGGGAACATCCTTGAGGAGGTGAAACGTAAGCCCGACTTCTCGGAGATGTCCATCGATGGCGCCCTCACTATCGGGTAGGATAGTTTGGGCCGCTGAAACCAATTGGAATATAGGCTTCTCAACCTCAGGAATAGGATCTGCACCGATGATCATAGCAGCTGCACCATCACCAAATAAGGCTTGACCCACAAGACTGTCAAGGTGGGTGTCACTAGGCCCACGGAAGGTAACAGCGGTGATCTCCGAGCAAACGACTAGCACACGGGCCCCCTTGTTGTTTTCAGCAAGGTCCTTGGCAAGGCGGAGCACCGTGCCACCAGCGAAGCAGCCTTGTTGGTACATCATGAGGCGCTTCACCGAGGGGCGAAGACCCAATAGCTTAGTGAGTTGGTAGTCAGCTCCGGGCATATCAACACCACTAGTGGTGCAGAAGACTAAGTGGGTAATCTTGGATTTGGGTTGGCCCCATTCCTTGATGGCCTTAGTTGCAGCCTCTTTGCCTAATTTCGGCACTTCCACCACCACCATGTCCTGCCTAGCATCCAATGAAGGTGCCATGTAAGCACAAATGTTGGGATTTTCCTTGAGGATCTCCTCATGCAAGTACATGTAACGCTTCTTGATCTGAGATTTCTCACCTGTAAAATTGATTGTAAAAAGTAAAGAATTAGGAAAATCACATGATTTTTTGTAATAGGAGATATTAGAGGAATTAGCTGTCATTTCTTGTTATGAAAAACTTTCCTATGAAGACTAGTTTCTTGACCACAAATGAAAAGGTATTTCAGCACATTCATTTCTAGGCATTCAAATATTTAGGACGACATTTTTGTTACATCATTATTATTATTATTATTATATTATTATTATTATTATTATTATTATTATTATTGTTATTATTATTATTATTATTATTATTATTATTATTATAACTACATAGTTCTTTTGGCAAATTAAATACCAAATTTACTCATATATCGCAATTCCATCAACATGGTTAAGTATTGATGATTAATCCATATTATCTAAACATAACGACAATTGATCACCATAAACCGTTCTGCACTATTACAAACGTAAGAAACAAATTCATATATGTGGTATCCAATTTGATAGAAAGTTAGAAACTACAACAACTAATCCACAGATCACTAATTTGAACCCAAAGACAACATAAACAACAAAAGGAATGTACTTACACATGCGCTTGAATTTCTCCTTGAGTTCAGTCTTGTGCTCACTATTGGTGATGCGGAAGTAGTAATCCGGATAAGAGCTCTGATCAATGCAGTTGGGTGGAGTTGCCGTTCCGATCGCCATGATGGTGGCGGGCCCCTCAGCCCGTTGAGCCTTGCGGACTTCCTCGACGGTCACCATTTTTTCCGATGAAAATCGAAGTTAACTTAGGTGTGGTGTGTTGGCTGCCCAAATAGGGGTTGGCTTCTAACTGCAAAGGTGTAGTTTGTAGTTGCAGTAGAAGCAGCGGAATGTTTGGGCACTAAAATGTTGTGACAAAGTATTGTATTTATAATATTATTGTGGAAAGGTTACTAGATGGGAGTCACGTGCTACACTAATGCCCTTGTAATAAGGAGCTAAGAAGAATAATCTCAACCACTTTGGAGTAGATGGCTGGTTAGCACGTGACTTTAGTTTGGTACGTACGTGTGATTATCTTTCCATCGAACTTCCAAATGATAGTGTTATACTTTATTAGTTTCCACTTACCAAACAAACAAAGAGAAAATGAGTCAATTAGTAGTGACTTTGGTCCTTTTTAAAAAAAAATAAATTTCAAGAGGTCCTCGTGAACCACAAATAGAATGCATTCTGGGGAACGAGGAATATATACGTTGTCGTAGTTACCATTAAATATATAAATTTTAGTGCTGGATTTAAATTTATTCTTCAAAAATCAGAGCAAATTGTTAGATTTTCTCCTCAAATCATATATCTAATTTCTCCTATTTTATGTGTAATTTTATTTTCTTTCCTCTTCTTTTGTATTTTTCCATTTTTTTATTTGTTTTCTATGTACGTTGTTTGCCGTAGTTACCCATTAAATATATAAATTTTAGTGCTGGATCTAAATTTCTTTCTCAAAAATCAGAGCAAATTGCTAGATTTTCTCCTCAAATTATATATCTGATTTCTCCCATTTTATATGTAATTTTATTTTCTTTCCTCTTCTTTTGTATTTTTCCATTTTTTTTATTTGTTTTCTTATTTGACAGGCAACCTCTGAACACTATAATAAGAGAGTTAGTCTAAGGTTTTTGAAAAGTTTTTGATATTCAGTTTTCTGTCGTCTTGCTGTCACTCTCATATTTTCTCTCTTAAACTTGTGAGAATGTTGTACTAGTTAGGCTAAAGTTCTCTTGGTGAGACTAGAGATGAACTTTTGTTAGTGACCTAATTTGGGTTTTGATTCCTTGTGCCGTAAAGTTCAATATCCGAATGAATTAAATATCATCTATCTTTCATTTATTTTTTAAAATATTGTGTGCCAATTTTTATATGAGTTCAGTCACGCTTTTCTTATGTAATTCTGTCGTGCACTATTTTGTCATTCAAATTATTTTACAAATTATATTATATTATAATATTGTCAAATTGATATATTGTCGATTTTGGCTAACTTGTAATAATAATATTTTCGGAGTCAATATAGAGATTTAATTTATTCGATCTTTTTATTTTGTGAATGAAAACTTGAATTGGTGAACGAAATATTAAGGATTCTCGACACCCTACTATGTTTACTACTGAATTTTCTTCACATAAATCCCTTGTCATTTCTTTATTTTATTAGCAACAGAATTGCAACAAAACTTTTCTTTTTCTTTAATTTACTTGTTATTTATTTTTCTCTAACGTTCTTATTCTGCTAATCTTTCTTGTTTATTTTGTTACCTCTCTGTAGATACGACCGCCCTTCTATGCTACAATTGACCGCTTGTGAACATCACTTTTAGGCGTTAATCAAATTTTGGCGCCGTTACCGGAAAGATGCTACCAACAAGATTGATCGGTAAATTTTGAGCCAAAGAAGTAAGTACACATTTTTTTTTATTATTATTGTTATTAATCTGTGTGATTCGATTTCTATTTTTGATTATTAGTCCTTATCTAGCTTTTAGTTCACGTGCTGTAGACTGTAATAGATTAGTAGTTTACTTTTGATATTCTTTTTGATATTTGCGTTTTTTTTTCTTTTTTTTTTCTTTTTCTCCTTCATTTATTTTCTTTACACGTATATAAATAAAAAAAATTATCTTTTCATTTAATTTCTTTTTATTTAGTTTCCTTAGTTTTGAAAGATAAATTAGTATTTACTTTTAGTGTTGTTTCTATTTCCCTTTCTAGTTTTATAATTAATTGTGATTTGATTTTATAATCTTTTATTTTTAATAAATTAGGATTTTATTTTGTTTCTCCATTTATAAATTTTTATTGTTGACTATTATATTGTTATCTAATTTAATTTTTCCTTTTAAGTTTTTTTATATTAATTTTTAAGATTGTGATTAGGTTGTAATTAGTTGACTAGTTTAGATTCCTAATTTAAGTTTCATAATTTCGTAGATTTAGGCCTTTGACTTTAGGAATAGTTTTCATTAATTAGATTTCATTTCATAATGTATTCAATAAAATTTAAAAACTGATTTTGAAAATAATTGTGTGGTTACGTGGAAACTACAATTTGAGGGAATTCTGTTTAGGAAAGTTGGTACTTAAGTGGGCCTCGCCCCACCAATCTTTCCTGGAAACGTTGCTCTGTCTAGGAGGCTATTCATTGAGTCAAGAGCTATAGTCTTTCCTAGGAGCACTCTCGGTGGTTATAATTTACGTTACTATATAATTATATTCTTTTGTTTTGATTAAAAATTAAAAAAAAAAAATTAAAAATTAAAAATTAAAAAAAAGAGTTGCTTAGGGTGAATGCATCAGTATAGAGATGAACTAGGGAGATTCGCTTGACGTCCAGTTTAAAAAAAGAGTCGCTTAGGAAGATTCCCTAGTGAAATCCTATCCGAGTCGTCTTCTATGCCTCCGTCTTCACACTCGTCGTTGAAATTCGCACTTCAAAATCTATTCGCAATGGCACAACATGAGGAAGTTCAGCAGAGGATGTTGCAAGATTACCTGCACCCAACGCATACGGCTGCCCCATCTTGCATCATGTTCCCACCGAATGCACCGCTTACGGATTTCAAGCCAGGCATGGTTGCACCTCTTTCAACCTTTCACGGGTTAGAGAATAAAAACACATATATACACATTTGGGAGTTTGAAGAGGTGGTGGCCACCTTCTACAACCGTGTTAAGGCCACAAAAACTGTCTGATTGGAGTTTTTCCCTTTCTCTTTGAAGGACAAGGACAAAAGCTAGCTGTATTCTCTTAGACCCAGGTCAATTAGCACGTAGGAAGAAATGACGACGACATTCTTCAACAAGTATTTCCCACACCAGAAGATCAACAATTTAAAATGACAGATCTCGACTTTCGCTCAAAAGGAAAATGAAATACTCTATCAAGCTTGGGAGTGTTTTAAAGATTTGTTAAATCTGTGTCCCCACCATGGGTATGAAAGTTGGTGCCTCGTAAGCTATTTCGACGATGGACTCACAATCTGAGAGCGCCAATTTTTTAAGATGATGTGCAACTGAGATTTTCTCCAGAAGGATCCTGACGAAACTATCGAGTACCTGAGTGAGTTAGTTGAGAAAGCCCACACTTGGACTAGACTGAGTGCTACTAAGAGCACTAGTACATACCGACCAGCTGGAGTTTATCAATTGAGGAAAGAGGATAGCCTCAAGGCCCAAGTTGAAGCTTTAATGAAGCAAATTGAGCCCTCAAAAGGAAGGAAAGTAAAGGAACCCATATGGTGGCAAGGGCAGAGGCACATGAGCCCTGCTTCGTTTGTGGTGGAGTGGGTCATCTAGCTCAAGATTGTCTCACTTTTGGTAAAATGAGGGGTATACGAGGAGGAGCAGTGCAATGCATTGGGCACATACAAGAAGCCTAATGGACCTTTCTCAAACACTTATAATGAAGGCTGGAAACACCACCCAAACTTCAATTGGAGAGATCCAAACCAACATGCCCAGTCATCTGGAGGGCAATGGAGATCAGAGCAACAATCTTAACCACCAAGGACATATTTTGTGCCTCAGAATAACATGCAGCCAAAAGGGAATTCTCTAGAGGATACCCTAAAAGCTTTTATGGATGCGCAAAATAAGACGAATAAAAGGGTTGATTCAAAGCTCGCGCAACTGGTGAAAGAGAACAAGGAAATGAAAAGTCAGATCACAAAGCTGACAAAAGCTTTAACTGTTTAGGAGCGCGGTAAATTTCCATCACAAGCCCAGACTAATTTGAGGGGACAACTCACGGCTCAAACTTCCAACTCTGAAGATCAAAATATCAAGGAAGTTAATGCCATCTCTACCCAAAGTAGCAAGAATTTGGACACACCATCGACAATTACTACCACTTTGAGTAATGAAAAATCGGCTCAGGAGAAAGAAGAGCCAACAAATATTCCAGTAAAGGTGCCTTTCCCCCAAGCTCTCCGACCTACTGGGAAAGTGCCGGAAAATCAAAGTAAGATCCTGGAGCACTTGACATAATTTAAGATCAGTCTTCCCTTACTACATGTGATCAAGTAAGTGCTGGCCTACGCCAAGGTTATAAAGGATCTGTGCACCATGAAAAGGAAGCACCATGTCAAGAAGACTGCGTTCTTGACGGAAGTAAGTACGGTGATTGAGCAGAAGACACCACTGAAGTATAAGGATCCAGGTTGTCTTACTATTTCCTGCCAGATTGAGACACATGAATTCGGCTAAGCGTTACTAGACCTATAATCGAGTGTTAACCTCATGCCTTATTCGGTCTATTCGTAATTGGGTCTTGGAGAGATTAAGTCCACATCTATGGTTCTACAACTGGCTGATAGATCCATTAAGAGACCACGGGGAAAGTGGACTTTTCTTGCCACAACAAACGCACTTATCAATTGCAAGTTGATACACAATCCATGGACTTTCTTGTCTTAGATACACAATCCGTGGTGAATATGGAGTCATTCATTCCCATCATTCTAGGAAGACCTTTCCTTGCCACAACAAACGTACTTATCAATTGCATGAATGGTCTTAGAAGATATCTTTCGGGAATCTGACCCTTGAGGTGAATTTTTTTCATATTCAAAAGCAACCACGTGATGACGATGAGTGTCAGTAGACTTTCATTATAACCACGCTCGTCGAGGAGGAAGTTCAACTAGAATATAACTCGGATGATCTTAAAAACCTCCTCCAAAAATCTGAAGTTGAGAGTTCCGACCCTTGTGAGCTGGCTAACATTTCTGCCATTTTCAAAGAATCACAGGACAGAGGAACCAATTTTGGGCCACCATGTTTTGAGGACCTCCCAATAGAAAGAGAAAAACTAAAACCTTGCATCGAGGAGACCCCTATAGTCAAACTTGCTTAACTACCTAAGGGTTTAAAACATGCATTCTTGGGAGATAAAGGCACATTTTCGGTCATTATCTCGTCTAAACTTGATGCATCGCAAGAAAAATGATTGATCAACATACAGCGAAAGCACAAATCTGCATTGGGCTGGACGATTACTGATATCAAGGGTATTAGCCCATTAATTTACTCTCCTTGCAGAAGAGACCCTTAAAGACGCCTGAATCCAACCATGAAGGAAGTAGTTAAGAATGAAGTTTTGAAATTGTTAGATGCTGGCATCATTTATCCCGTTGCTGATAGCAAGTAGGTTAGTCCAACCCAGGTACTGCCAAAGAAATTAAGGGTTACTGTGGTGGAAAACGAGAAAGGGGCTCTGGTTCCCACAAAAGTCATGACTGGTTGGCACATCTGTATCGATTACAGGAAGCTTAACGCCGCCACTTGCAAAGACCATTTTTCACTTCCATTCATCGATCAAATCTAAAAATGTGTGGCAGGTCATCCTTTCTACTGCTTTCTCGATGGTTATTCATGGTACTATCAGATAGAGATAGCTTTAGAAGATCAGGATAAGACCACATTCGCATGTCCTTTTGGTACCTATGCCTTTCGACGAATGTCATTCAGATTGTGTAACACACCTGCCACATTTTAAAGGTGTATGCTGAGCATTTTCAGTGACATGATCGAGAATGCATGGAAGTGTTCGTGGATGACTTAACAATCTTTAGAGATTCATTCGACACGTGCCTTCTCAACTTGGAAGTCATTCTACAAAGATGTCAAGAGAAGGGTCTCATGCTCAATTAGGAGAAGTGTCATTTCATGGCACCATCCGGCATAGTTCTTGAGCACATTGTTTCTAAAAGAGGAATCAAGGTAGACCACTCCAAGGTTGAACTCATTTCCAACCTGTCCACCCGCAAGGCCGTTAAGGATGTTCAATCTTTTCTGGGGCACACCAGATTCTACAGGAGGTTCATTCGAAACAATTCATCTATAGTAAGACCGCTAACAACTTCCTAGCGAAAGATGTTGTGTTTAACTGGACACAGTAGTGTGAGGATGCATTCCGAACACTCATCGCAAAACTGACTTCCGCCCCTATTATGCAACCACCAGATTGGAGCTTACCGTTTGAGATCATGTGTGATGCAAGTAACTATGTTGTGGGGGCCGTTCTTGGTCAACGGAGGGAGGGGAAGCCTTTTGTTGTCTACTATGCAAGCCATACTATGAATAGTGCTCTAATGAACTACTCAACCACTAAAAAAGAGTTTCTTATAGTAGTATTTGCTCTCAACAAGTTCTGTGCATATCTGATTGGTTCACCTATCACCATCTTCACAAATCATGCTGTCCTTAAGTACCTTCTCTCCAAAAAGGATGCTAAGGCGTATTTAATTAGGTGGATCCTTCATCTACATGAATTTGACTTAACAATGAAGGACAATAAGGGAGTCAAAAATGTGGTGGTCGACCACTTATCTCGTCTTGAGTTTAATGATTCCACCGAAAGTCCTGCTATTAGAGATGACTTCCCTGATGAACATCTCTTCATCGTCACTAAGATGTTATGGTACACTCACATTGTTAACTACTTGGTGAGGAGTGAAATTTCATCTACTTGGAGTGCACAAGACAAAAGGAAGTTTTTGGTCGAGATTCATAACTTTTATTGGTATGACCCCTATCTTTTTATGTGCTGCCCTGACTAGATTATGAGACAATACATTCCAGATGATGAATTGTCTAGTGTCCTAAACTTTTGCTATAATGATGCATGTGCTGGTCATTTTTCTCTGAAGAAAACAACTGCAAAGATATTGCAGTGTGGTATTTAATGGCCCACTTTGTTCAAGGACACCAATGACTTTTGTTGTTCCTGTGAGAGGTGCCAAAAGATAGGTGCTTTGTCCCATCACCATATGATAGAAATATTCGACTGCTGGGGGATAGACTTTATGGGACCATTTCCACCTTCTTATAACACCTCACTATGGATTACATGTCTAAGTGGGTAGAAGCCGTGGCATGCCGGAACAACGATAACACCACAGTTGTAAAATTTTAAAGGAAAATGTGTTCTCTTAATTTGGAACGCCACGTGCCATCATCAGTGATCAAGGCACTCATTTCTGCAATCGTTCTTTTAAGGCTCTGACACGCAAGTACGGTGTGGTTCATAAAGTTTCTACTGCCAATCACCTACAGACAAATGGCCAAGCTGAGGTGGCCAACAGGGAGATTAAGCAAATTCTGGAGAAGACGGGTAATCCCAATCACAAGAACTAGTTTCTACGCCTTCCAGACGCACTTTAGGCATACCGTACTGCTTACAAAGCCTAACTTGGAATGTCTCTATACCGGCTTGTTTTTAAAAAAAGCCTATCATCTACCTGTAGAGCTCAAACATAAGGCTTAGTAAGCTACCAAAGCCCTAAACTTTGATCTCAGTACTCTAGGTATCAATCAGAAGCTCTAGCTTTCTGAAATCGATGAGTTAAGGAACGATGCTTATGAAAATTCCAGGATCTACAAGACAAAAATGAAAGCGGCTCATGACAAATAAATCCTGAGAAAGGACTTCATAGCCGTTGTCCTAGTCCCGTTTTGACCGCTGTCTTTAGCGCTATCAAACTCTTTCCAAGTACACATATTTTTCAAGTTTCTCAAAATCCGTGCAAAGATGATGTCTATTCATTATCTGTAGTAATAATCATATTCTTAAGGAATTTACTATCACGACAAGCTCTAAGTCATCGACTATAGGTAGCTAAGCCTAGAAAATTACGCATTTTCTGCTACGCTCTACATACCTTGATTGCGTGACCTTAGTCTTTTGAGTACTCATTTTCTTAAGAAAACATATGACATTTTAACTCTGACTGGTTCTATCTATTTAATGACATAATCTCACTTTTTGTCATTTTGTGGTTCTTCGTCGTTTATATAGCTTATCCCTCTATAGAGTTCTAACCGATCTGTTTCTATGGTATATTCTTAACTCCTTACGTGGTAGACATGGCATCCACAGTTGAATACGTGTTTTTCTTCTTTCTAGATTACTATCGTATATTATGTCACTCTAGGA